TTTCGTATAGAGAAGTCAGAAATTTACCTGAAAGCGGCTATATCTCTTCAAAGTGGATGAGCAGCGTTATTTCTGACATTAAATTTCCAAGAAAAAAATACAATCGAAAGAAAATTGTTACCTTGTTGTCTTGGCCCTATTTGTGTCTTCACATTCATGCATTTTACATGAACATGCATCTGGGCATCATTTCATCAAAACAAGAAGAGTTTCTCCTCTCATGAGGATGTCTTTAAAATCTATTTTGAGAAACCATTTGGTTTTTCTTAAGATCTCTTCCCTAGAAACCTCAACATTATCTTCTATGAGATTGTATCTCTAGAAACTAACTTTATCTATTTTGTGTCGTTTCATTAAAAGTTCTAATTTTGTCTTTATTAAAGACCTTTTTCACATTTTCAAAGGAGTAAAGATAAATGAATCGCATCACTGTATTCATGAGAACATTGTTCAGAATAGCAAATACGTTGCACTTTCAAGATGAATATTTTACAAGTTTTTCTAGAAAACTAAAGATTTATGACAAGAAAAACTCATTAAGCAGTTCAAAACCTTCAAGATAGAGAAGGGGAAAGTCACGAGATTCATGGCAGACTTGATGTTTATTGAATTGAAGATTGAACTTTTATACGAGAAATTACTTTTCGAAGATTTCTTAAATATTGACCTTCGGGTATGGTATTTTCAAATTCGTGAATATATACTGACAAGTTATAATTTTCCTCCAAAATTGATATTCCCTGAAGAGCAGTGAAGAAAATTTACCTCGATTCAATCCTCTCTTAAGAGTAGTTAAGTGAATCAATGTTTCTAGATCTGATCTACCCTAAAGAGCAGCGAGCATATCCCTTTTTCAGATTTGATCTTCCTTAAGGAGAAGTGGAACAAATATGCCTCGATTCAATCTTCCCTGAAGAGCATTAAAATGAATCGAAGTATCAGATATGATCTACCTTGAAGAGCAGCGGAACAGATCCCTTTTTCCAAATTTGATCTTCTTTGAAGAGAAGTGAAGCATCCATCTCGATTCAATCCTTCCTTAAGAGAAGTGAAGTGAAAAACTTTACAGATCTAATCTACCCTGAAACGCAACGGACCAGGTCATTTTTTTCATATTTAATATTCCCTAAAGAGCAGAGAAGCGAAACAAAACTTATTCAATCTTCCCTGAAGAGCAGTAAAACAAATCAAAATTGATTCAATCTTCCCTAAAAAGTAGTGAAGTGAATCAAACTTTCAAAATCTGATCTACCCTAAAGAGCAGCGGAGCATATCCCTTTTTCCAAATTTGATATTCTCTGAAGAACAATGAAGCAAATCCACTTGTTCTTTAAAACTTTATTCCTACTGAATTCATCTTCGAAAATAATTAAAATTGCTAACCCACTTAACCTCAATATTTTCGGACCTTGAATTCCATCCATATGCATCCACTTTGCAATGTCTTTTATCTTCATGAAACTCTTACACCATCCGACAAGACTGTCTTTCAGTACCAGCAGTTTATCTTCATCGATGAAGCCTTCAACAGGAGCCGCTAGGTGAAGTCTACCGTCCTCCCTACTCTTGATTTCAGATGGTTGAACAACACTAGATTTCTTCCTTCAAAAAGCATTTCTTGTTTGATATCTCGTCATGTAGACTCGAACTTTAAATTAATAATATTCGAGTTACCTCTAATAAAATTTAGTTATAGAAATTAAAATCTAAATTAACAATTTGGAACGAATGGGTTTACCTTGATTTTATGATTTATAGTCAATTAATAAGACGTATAAGCCTGCAATGGATCTAAGGACATCATATTACTAAACTTCTTGTTAGGGAGTCTAGAACATATTTTCTTATTGCTCGTTTTGAATTCGGTATTATGCTAGGGTTGTAAACAAGTCGAATCGAGTTTGAGTGTTGTCGAATTTGATTCAATTTGAAAAGTTCAAAGTTCAGAGCTCAACTTATGCTCGAAAAAAATTAAACTCAACATTTTCAGATTATATTCGATTGAAGCTCAGACTTGATAATTTAGGCGAAGGGTTTGATTGTGTAGGTAACTAGAATGAAACAAACTGAATCTTGTGAATATATTTAATTTGAATTGCTTTTTTTTAAGTTTGGTATGAATTGATGAAATTATTGTTTGGTGTGTGTTATAATATTCTCTACTTGTATGACATTTTTTTATATTAATGAAAAATAATTAAACATTAAAATTCAAACTTAAAATAAAACATAATAATTGAATATTAATAAAATATAGTAATTGATTAAGTCTAAACATTCATGAATCAGTAGGCATGGCATAACGGCACAGTGGACACAAGTGACTCTTTTCCAGCCATTCTTCAATACATCGGTCATGGACCATATGCCCACACGGCATACGTTTAGCTTGCTTCTTTTCATCTCCGAAGCAAACCACACACTCAAACCCAAACCCTAAATCCAAAACTTTCTCCAATGCTTCGATGCTCGACTTAGTAGCCGGCACAAACCCGATATCCTCATCGATCCCACCATCTACGTCATCGCTGTAATATTCACGATCAGAATCACGGTTAGTCTTAAATGCTCCGAATGCCGCAATAATCAATAACTTATCTACGTTCTTGTTGCGATTAGCTCTATTCATCGAGTCAATGTAGTTAAAGATTTTGGAATCGGTGTCGACATTGAAATCTTCGAGGATTTCTTGTTCACAAGGGGCGAAATTAACGGAGTCCTCGAATAGCTTTTGGTGAAGCATGTTACAGAATTTAGTGGGATCAAAATCGTGATGGAGATCGAGCAAAGCGTTACAGTAACGCAACCAGCCGCAAAGTCGAGAGTTATTGATGTCTAACTCGAAGTCTCGTGGGATTTGATCTCGTATAAGTTGACCCGTCCATATATAGAGTACCATGAACCAGAATCCCTCTGCATCATCAAGAGAATATGAATTCTTGATGCTTAGCTTCCCCTCATATACGCACACATCTTTAACTCCTACTAAAACACTAAATATTTAATCCTTTTCCTAGAAGAATAATATAATATTTTAATATTACTTTATTGAATACTCTTCTTGTTACCTTAATTACGTATTTATTTTAATTAGAGTTAATTACACTATGCATCCTCAAACCATGACCCTCATTCTAAATTAATCTCCAAATTTTTTAACATTCTAGTTTCATCTCTAAACTCTCATTGTAAATTAGTCTCTAAAATTTTAAACATTCTGAACTCATCCTCAAACTATGACCATTGTTCTATATTGATCACTAAACTTTTGAATATTTTAATTTCATCCCAAAATTTTCGAAATTTTTAGGGGGAGTTATTGAGGTGTTACAAAGTTTGGGGGTGAATTTGAAATGTTTAAAAGTTTATGGATCAATTTGGAATGATAGTCATAGTTCGGGGGTGAATTTAAAATGTTTAAAAATTAAGAACCAATTTAAAATGAGAGTAGTAGTTTGAGGATGTATAGTACGATTATCTCTTTTAATTATTTCAAAAAAAAGTTTTTATTTTAATCTGAAAAAAGTAGTGTTATTTACTTTGAATCCATTAAATATAGAAATTCAATAAACCACATTTTTTGCTAACTCTAGTTGATCCCTCTTTTATTTTCCTATGTTGTGTCCCTCCTTTATTCAAAAAATTCAATAAATAACAAAATTTATATTTTCTGTTACCTTTACTATTTTACACATCAAAATAAATCTATCAAATCTATCAATAATTTTTTCAAGGATAATTTTATCTTTTCTCTTATTTTACATATGATCACATTTATCTTCTAAAATTACGTGTTTTGTCGACATGAAATACATGATAAAGGGAGTACTTATTTTTTATCTCCTAAAATAAAATTATTCTATTTTATCTTTTTTATATGATTTTTTATTAATTTAAATTAAATAAAATTTAGTATCAGTTCAAAGATTCGTAATCATTTGACACATATATGTTCATATGTGATTCTCAAACACGAGATCTTAAGGATAACAATAATCCCTAACCATTGAAGTCACTCATTTCGTATTCCTTTTTCTTAAATAATGACAACTTAATTTTATTATTAAAAACAATAGAAGAAATTAGAATTATGACGCACTCTAGAATAAAGAGAAAAATGAAGATAATAATTACAAAAAATAAATCATACAAAAATAAAAAATATTAATCTTAAATATATGAAGATGTATGCAAAAAAAAAAGTATCAAAATCTTAATAAATGCACTATAAAAAAAATAAAAATAATAATCAGTTACGCTCAACAACCACCATTAAATTATTATCACAATCCACTAAAAAAGGGGATGTGGTTTAACACTTTTTTATTTTTAATGATTAATTTATACAGATATATGATTTTAGGGGAAATTCACGGCTAATATGATCAGTTTATTCTAGTTTTTGTAGTTTCTTTTTCTCCTTATTAAAAAAACAACGATTACCATTAGTTCACCAAAATTAAATAGTTATAAATAACATCTTCCTACTTTATTATTAGATAGTTACAAATCAACTTTTTCTTCTTTGATTTTGTTTAGTCGACAATGACATTGGACTTGATGTTAGTTATTGTTCTTTAGTTTTCTTTTTTCTCTTTTTTTTTTTTTAAATTTTAAGGTGGGATAAATCAATTTATGTTTCTTAAGGTGGGATTTGATTACACCACAACTGATCAAGATATCATTTATTTGTAATATTGTTGATCTTCCATACTATGAACTCATGGATTGAAATGCACGATTTTGCTTTCGTGGATAATTTCTCACAATGACCGGCTTCGATTTTCGGTTCTCTGTGGTCTTTCAATAGCTTAATCTCTATTCACTTTTTAATAATACTAGTTGTTTCTATTAAAAAAAATTAAATGTATTAGAACCTCATCATGATTCATTTTATATTTTAAAAATATTTTTTTGGATAAAATGTATGTATTAAATCCAAATGATGCGCGGAAAAACTGCTACAAAATCACAAGAGTATCTACAAAAATCTCCAAAACTCAGTCAAGAAGATCCCATTCTATACAAAGCTTAGCATTAGTGGGATCAGTTCTATCAAACTTCCTCCCATAAAGAATGAAACCAAATATCTCCTTCAAAGAATAAAAAATATCACATTGGCTCCTGATCGAACCCCCAAATAATCCCATATAACACTCCTCCCAAATACAGTAAATGAAAGCATTCCAAGCCAATTTAAGTAACTTAACAGTGAGACACTTATCTTTAAGACATGAAACCGCCCAGTCCAGCTCTTGATCCCAAGAAAGAGTTGATCTATCCAAACCACAAAGGCCAAGAACAACACTCCACACCCTCACCGAAAATGCACATTCAAAGAAAATATGATTTTTGGATTTGTCCGCATCAGCACATAACGCACAAACACTATCCATATCCGTCCCCATTCTCCGCAACCTATCCTTAGTCGCAAAACGATTAAGGATGGCGAACCAAGCAACCATAGCATATTTAGGAACATGCAAAGGGAACCATATCAACTTGTGCCAAACAATTCTACAATCCCTCCTCGTAATTTCAGACCATATATCTCCCGTTCTCGCTGATCTCAAAATAGCCAGAAACATCCCACTAGCCTCACTTCTCAATGATAAAATTTTCCTCAAACTCAATTTTAAAGACCCCTTAATCTCAAAGCTCCAAAAATCAACCTCCTTAATAATATTTTAATATATTTGTTTATTTTAATAATATTTTCCTTTCAATATATTTGTTTATTTTAATTATTCTCCTAAAGTAGTACATCAAGTGGTAGTATTTGTTCTAAAAGCTCTCTAACCATTTAACAATGAATGCTCAAATACTTCTCTCGTGATCAAACCTAAGACCTATAGGAATAACAACCATTCTTTTAACCACTAAGGTAACTTGGTTCGTGCAGAAATAGATCATACTTCATATTGCATAATGTATTAATAAGTATATTTGATTAGCTATGATTCATTCGTTGAAGTAGATGTAACAATCCACGGTAAATTCTAAAGTTTCTCTTGATATAAAATATATACAAAGTGTTATTTCCAAATATTTCTTTTATTTTTTTAATGACAAATTATTAAATTATTAAAAAGAAAGAGCAAATTTAGTTCACACAAAATTTTCGTATATAGTGATTAAAAATAAAATTTCAGGGCTCACACAACCAATAAAATAAGTAACTAACCAAAGAAAATTCAAATTTCAAGGTAGGAATGTGTCCACCCTAAACAGAAGGTGGATCCGCTACTACTTAGTGACTAAAAAACCTAATTCTATAAGAATTGTTGTCTAAAATAATTATTTACTTATTAAATAACCTCAATTATCAAATAATCTTTAATCACTAGAATTAAAATACAATCCAATTTAAAGAAAAGCAATTAGAATTCGAGTTTCCTCTAATAAAATTTAGTTATAAAAATTAAAATCTAAATTAACAATTTGGATCGAATTGGTTTATCTTGATTTTCTTTAAAAGGATTATGATTTATAGTCAATTAATAAGATGAATTATGGTGATTATATTAAAATAAAAGTGTGAACATAAGTCTAAAAAGAAAGAGCAACTTGCTAATGCTAAGACTCCTGTAGAAAAAGGAGGAACATCAAAATCTCCTTTACAATGATAGTTTGCTTTTGGAACATAAGAGGATTAAATAATCCTCATAAGCAAATAAAAGTCCTCCAAAGGGCCAACCTTTACAAAGTAGATATCCTATGTTTGATGGAGACTCGTATTAAAGCTGATAAATATGATAACATTCTGCATTCTAATTTTGGGAGCTGGAATGCGTTTACAAATTATGATTATGCCTCTAATGGAAGAATCTGGCTGCTATGGAAAAATGGAATTGACATTTCTCTCTTCAATTCTTCTGATCAAAGTATCACTGTCAAGTGTCGATACAACATTATCCCCTTTATCATCGCTTCCATTTATGGCAGTAATAATGGCTCTAACAGAAGGCAGTTATGGCAGCGTCTTAGACATCTTGACTCTCAACTTAATTCTCTCCCTTGGATTCTATGAGGCGATTTCAACACCTGTCTTCACTACACTGAAAGCTTTGATTCTGATCTACTAGACCCTTATCTATCAACTGATATGAAGGATTTTCAAGAAGTGACTCATGACCTCCTCCTCTAAGATCACCCATACTTTGCTCACCCTTCTCATGGAGTAATAAACAAAAAGATGCATTCTTAGCAAGGAAACTTGATAGAGTTTTAATTAACTCCTCCTGGGCCAATTCTTTGCTGAGGTATTTTGTTGAATTCTATGCCCCTGGTCCCTCTGACCATTGCATGACTGGTCTGGTTAAACAAAGAGACCCACACTAACCGACCCAAACCATTCAAGTTCTTCAACTTCTGGTCATATCACCCTTCCTTTCTTGATGTAGTCACCCATTCCTGGCAGCAACATTCTCAAGGTAACCCCATGCAACCTTTGTTTCTCAAGCTAAAATGTCTAAAGCCTTGCTTACAATCTTTAAACAAGAATTTTTACAACAACTTATCTGCTATGGTCAAACTAAAGAGAACTGAGTTGGAACAATTACATATCCTAACTCTTAAAGGATCCAGCCCTATTGATAAAGAACTTAATGCTCAAAATGAGCTATCTAACCTTAAAGAGGCTAAAATATGTTTCTTAGGTAGAAAGCTAAAATTAGATGGCTCAAAGAGGGGGACAAATGAACCAAGTTCTTTCACTCTGTCATTGCAACAAAAAAATAAAAGATACCATTAGAGTTCTTATTATTCTCAAGGAAAAAGGCTGGAATCATTTGATGAAATAGCTTTAGAAGTCTTAGAGTTCTTCAAATTAAAACTAGGTACAACTGACCCTAATATTCAACAGACTGGTGCTCATTATTTGAAAAGTCTACTCCACTTTGACTTGCATGCTGAAATTTCAACTGATCTTGTTAAGACTGTCTCTGATGAAGAAATCAAAGAAGCTCTTTTTATTCAAGGAAATGACAAGTCCCCAGGCTCAGATGGATTCACCTCGCTCTTTTTCAAAAACACCTGGCATGTGGTAGGTGAAGATGTAATCAAAGCTATCAGATTTTTCTTCCAAGAAGCACTCATCTTGCATGCCTTCAATGCCACTATAATAGCCTTGATTCATAAGGTTCATAACCCTAGCATTGTTAAGGATTACAGGCCAATCTCATGTTGTTCTGTGCTATACAAAATCATCACCAAAATTCTTGTTAAGAGACCATGCTGCTGCCAGAAATAATTAATCCTAATCATTATACATTTGTTAAAGAAAGAACTATAACTGATAATACTCTCCTTTCTCAAGAGTTAGTAAAAGGGTATGGAAGGAAGCATATATCCCCAAGGTGTGCCCTCAAAATTGACCTTCAAAAAGCATTTGATTCCCTTAATTGGGAATTCATTTATTCTATTCTCAAAGCTATTGGGCTACCAAGTATCTTAATAAGGTGGATAGAAGCATGTTTTACTACAGAAGCTAGGTACTCTATTCACTAAATGGCAGTTTGGTTGGTTACTTCAAAGACCATAGGGGAATTAGACAGGGTGACCATTATCCCCTATCTTATTTGTGCTAGCTATGAGCTTCCTCTCCAAAACTCTTAATATTGCTACTGCCAAAGGGATTTTCGATACCATCCTAAATGTAAAAAGATAGGCCTTACCCACCTTTCATTTGCTGATGATCTCTTAATTTTTTGCAAAGGAAATCCTGATTCTATTGCTGGAATTATCTCTTCCTTAAATCATTTCTACCATATGTCTGGTCTTAAGCTTAATGTTAGCAAGACTGAACTCTTTGCTGCTGGAATTTCCTCTTGATCTTCAAATTATCAAAAACATTTTTGGTTTCAAGCAAGGTCTTCTTCCTGTTAGGTACCTGGGGGTTCCGTTAGTCACTAAAAACTAACATAACAGAACTGCCAGCCTCTTATTGACAGAATTAAGCTAAGAATCCATCACTGGTCAGGTAACCTCTTAAGTTATGCTGGAAGGCTTGAGTTAGTCAAAACAGTCTTGTACAGTGTGGCTAACTACTGGTGTAGACAATTCATCCTCCCCTAAACCATTATTAATCAAATTGATCAGCTTTGTTCTCGTTTCCTATGGAAAGGAACTAACAAGGCTAACAGCAGCATCTGGAGCTAGGTTCAGCTGGGCAAGACTCTGTTATCCCAAATCCGAAGGAGGCTTAGGTTTGAAGAACATTAAATCCTGGAACACTGCCAGAATGATCCAGCTTATTCGTAATATCCTTGCAGGAGAAGGATCTCTTTGGGTCGCTTGGTTATATTGCTATGTAATTAAGAATGAAGACTTCAAGGACATGGCTGAAAAAGCTTCTCACAGCTGGAACATCAAGAGATTATTGAAACTTCGATCTACTGCTCTTCCCACTCTCAATACAGGAACTAAAACTACTAAAGACGTTTGGGAAGCTGTTAGAGACAAAAGAAATAAGGTACCTTGTCACAAAATTATATGGTTCCCTTCTCACATTCCAAAAATCAGTATGATCGCTTGGATGGCCATCTTGGACAGACTTCACACTCAGGAAAAACTGTCTCGGATTGTCAATGATAGCTGTTGTGTGTTATGTAACGAGACTATTGAAACAAGGGATCATTTATTTGCTGACTGCAGCTTTGCTAAATCTTTGTGGAGCTCTATTCTTAATCTTTCTCATCTGCGAGTACCTTACATGCCATGAGAAGCAATGATTAACTGGGCTTATGATGAATGGAAAGGTAAATATCTCCTTTCCTCCTTATTGAAGCTTGTTTGGACTTCGTTCATCTATTTGATTTGGGTGGAGAAAAATAGAAGAATCTTTCATCGAGGATCCAGAGAAGTCGATCAAATTCTGTCAACCATCAAAGAGCTTGTCGAATCCAATTTAGAGGCAAAAACATTAATAGATTAGATAATGTTAACAGTAACTTATGCTACTACTGGGGTATAAACTAACCATTTTTGTTGTAAGTAATTGGTTATACTCCCTTTTGGGATGATTGTTGTAGCTACATTGCTCATTTGGATAATAAATATTTACTTATCCAAAAAAATGTGAACATAATAATTGTATATTAATGAAAAGTATAAAATAAGACTAATTAATAAAGATTTAAACATTAGGCATTGTATACGTGAAACATTAGGAATTGGTTTAGGCAAAACTTTAAGTGACACCAACAAATGATATTGGAAAACTCCATCCAACCTGAAAAAGTAATCTTCCTTGCAGACATCGTTTTTCACCCAAGCGGGGAAAGACCGATACTGACTCGGGGGTTTTCTCTTTGAAAAGAATTTCAAAATGTGAGGAGTCGCCACCAATCATTTAAGGTGTGATTAAGACACCATAAAAACCGAGTGATTTTAATAAAACATTTTATTTTTATCAAAATATCAAGTTTTAAGGTTTGCAAAAATCCAGAAATCAGGTTCGGGAGTCAATTACACGTGTTGGGAAGGATTATCACCCCCACAAGCCAAAAATTAGTACCTAGTTGGTTACCATGTATTTAAAATCAGTAATTTTGAGTTCGATATTTATTTAATTTGAAAATCATTACAG